TCTGGTCCAAGAGAGATCTTTGTCGCCCAATGTAGGGCTCAAGGGTATTGAGCGAAAAAGGATGAAAAAAAGAATTCCAGTTCTTAACCTATTTTTTGTGTGCTGGACATAAAAACCTCTTTAGGTGTCACCATGTGGTCCAGCTTGCCCTGGTTCAGGTGGCATGTGGTTGTGGTTTTATTTGTCCCATTTACAGACCCTTTTCTAAACATGGGTCTTATAACCAAGGCTACTGTGGCTGTTATCCTGTTTGTTTTATGGGTGAATAAGGTGAGGAATTCGTGGATCTTTAACTTCATTTGGAAGGCAGGCACATGGATTCAGAGCTATCACAAACTAACTGTATGTTTTTGGGGTTCCTTTAATGATGGATTTACTGTGAGGAAATGACCCCAGGGGAAATTTTCTCCCAACCCTTCAACCAGCTCTTTGGGTCTGCCCCACCAGTTTTTGAAGGGTTCAAATCTTCTCTAAATGCTAATGATATCATACAGTGCCTGGTGGTGCTGATTTGCCTCGTCTGTTTAGGACTCTGGGCAAAATCCAGTCCAGGTTTGGGTGTTCCCTGATTGATATCAGCTCTGCTGCACAAACATCCCCACAGAAATTAGCTCAGTGCAGTTTCAGGATTAATTACAGATGGAACTGGGTGAAATGTAAAGACCTGTTCCATGAGAACCAGAGGAGATGATGACTTTGTCCCCTCTGGCCTTGAAGGGGTGAACAAATCAATTAAACACAATTTCTGTTGCCAGCTGGAAACAGTTCTGCTAAATTTGGAGAAACAAGAGGAAGATGATTCTGATGAGAACCTGATTAGTGCATCCCAGGTGTTTCAAAGGCTCTGTGTGGCTGGGTGGGTTTTGCTTTTCCAAGTGCTGCACATTGTGGTGCTGAATTGTCCTGAAAATGCAGAAATACCCAAGTGATGCTTTCAGGAGTGACCACAAGTTCCTGCTGGGGCAGAAGGGGAGACAGAGCAGTTGTTATCACCTTTTACCTTCACTGGGCAGGTGTGAATAAGTGATATTGTTACACTGACAACGTCCAGACCCTGCCTGTCCTCTTTTCCACCAGCACTGCTCAAATCACACTCCCATTTTTTAGACCATCTCTCTTTTTTGCCATTAGATTACACTGGTTTATTTGTTCCCTGCTTCTCCTTATCTTTGGAGATGTGGCTTCACAAAGGTTCTCACAATGTCTGACGTGTTCATCCCCCTGTCCTTTCACCAGGAGCTTTTTAACCACTTCAGGTTTCCAAACCCATTTCACTTTACCTGGCAACAAATTAATGTAAGCTCGGGTATAATTGGATAAATGGAATTTAATCACTTTTTTTATGTGTTTGACATAACTCTAGTGAGTTCCAAGCAAAATTCCTCACCTCACCATGACCTGCAGTCTAGCCTAGATTCTCTGGAGTCTTACAGCTTTGTATTTTACAGCTTGACTCTATTGAGTGAGGGAACTGACTGAGAAAAGGTTTTTCTCTATCTGTTATTGAGTGACCTGCCCTAGCATGAAAGAAGGTCATGGAAAACTGTCTTTGTGGTAGTTGTGCCCTGTTTTTTCATAGAACTTTCAGAAACCGATGTTTTTTTATTTTAGTCTTTCATGCAGTACTGGAAAGTAGATATGCTAGCAAATGCAGCTAGTTTTGCGGTTTGGGGTTGTGTTTTTAACCTTTTTTTGCTGTAATTCTCACAATTTTTAAAAATAATTTTTCTCTAACAGATGCTATACTCTCTAAGTACAATTCTTTTTTTCATATGGGTTGGAACAGTTGAGTTTAATCATGTCAGGGTCTTTTTTCCCATTTATGGCACTATTAAGTCTGTATATGTACAGCAAATCTCTTCATGAAAAGCCTTTACCACACTGTCTTGTACAGTAGCACCTCACATTGTACTACCAAGGGAATAAATTATTATTATTTTCTTCTCAAGGCAGGTGTTGTCACTTGCAGGTACTAATTGCACTTTTTATGAGTTACGTCTGTGAATGATTGGAAGTCTTCAGTAGTCTCAGGCTTTATAAAGGAGGGCTGACCTGTCTTTAAAACTGAAATTTAGAAAGTTTTTGCTTAAAACTGAGCAAAACTGCCCATATAGACATTCACTGATTCTCTGAGCACGTTACAGCCACAGGGTGCTCCAATTCCTGCTCTTGTAAGGACACACAGAATGTGCAGAGACAAATGGTAGCTGGTTATTCAAAGAAGCTGGACTGGGTTTGGAAAAAAAGCAGAAATTCTTTGGCATTCTCCCTTGAGTCCTGTTCAAAATAACCCAGGTACCATGGTTACAAGAAGAGTCATTTTGCTGCTTCTCCTGGGAATCTGGTGTTGAGCAGCCCCATCTGGTCTGGGACCTGAATTCCTGCATTTGCTGCCTCCCACCAGGCCTGGGTCACTGCAGGGGCTGGAGCAGCTCCAGGGGCTCTGGGCACTGCCAGATTCCTCCAGGCTGTGTCTCCCAGTTTGTGGTTTGAATGTGGTCTCTTCATAATAAACTTCACATTTTTTACATAAATGTGAAAGATGAGCAGGGCAAAGGTATGAAACAGGAAAGGATGAATATTCTGCACAGAGTTTAATCCGTGCTATCCTGGAGCCAGCATTTCTTCTCTAGAGGTTGATCTGCAGTGTGAGTTGGAGGGAACAGATTGCAGCAGTTTTTCCTGTCCCTGGGAATCCCTGCATGGATTTATCCTGTTCCACCAGGGTGCTTCAGACACCTCTTACCTCACTTACCCCACTCACCTTCCTATGGAAAGGTGGTGGGTGGCTGTGTTTAGGTAAATCATTTGGGTTTGTTTAAAAAAATCACCACAGACACAAGCACACGCCACGAAACGGGAAAAAAATTCCATTGCCTGGCTCAAGGGTTGTGGAAAAGGAGCTTGAGGAATTTCTCTGTGCAACCCCAAACCTGACTCTTGTCCTTGAAGGGATGCTCCTTATCTAGGCCATTGTTCTAGTTTTCCTGTCTAATTTCTTAAATGGGTTTGTAGAGCCTCTTTTTATTTAACTCTTGTTTTTTCAGGTAGAAAACAGAACAAAATTGAGTGGGGAAATAGCTTCTAACCACAACTAACCAGTCTTCACCTAAAGGGACAAAAACCCCTACCAAAACTTGCTAGGAAAGGAATAAGGAGGAAAAACTTGGAACTCAGTATGGTCTGATAGTGCAGTTAAAGTTTATTTTTATGTTTGTACTTAAGATATCTTACCCTCTAGAAAAAGTAGCTAATGTCTGAGGGTGAGTGCCATGTCCCTCAATTTTAGGGATACTTCTTCTCAGAAATTACTTTTTCAGTGTTATGTATTCCCTCCTCACCCTGTGCCAGAGATCTGGATTCTCTGTAACTCTTTGGGTGGTTAGAATTCTTTTTTTCTAAGCCAGTCCTAGTACTTGTTTGTGTGTTCTCTGCCAAGAACACCAAATACCAAAGGTTCTACGAGTTACTATATTAGGCTGTCATGATAACTGTAAACTTTGTGTGTTTTTGTTCCATGGAGAGTAATAATTTAAGTGACTACTTAGCCACTTAAAGCAGGATCTGAGGGTGACCTGCAGTTGTTCCAGAATTGCTTCTAATGGCAGAGGAGGGGCTGCCACCTTAAATCTGGACAAGTGGTACCTCTGCCACCACTTTAAAAAGAATATTTTTAAAAGTTAATTATTCTTCTTGTTTTTCTAAGGTTTGGGTGGATTAGGATTATTTTTCCTCATCAGCTGAAGCCTCATTTTGCCACTGGAGCAGAAATGTGTGTGGCAGCTCCTGGGCACTGACTTGGGACTTTGTGGACTTGTAAAGTCCTCAATTCCTCACAGGTGACCTTGTGAGTGAACTCCTCCCAACTGGAATAATGTGAATTTTCTCGTGTGCTGTGATCACATACCTTCATTTACAGCATGAGGAGCTCATTGTTCTCCAGTCATCCTGGGAAGTTCCCCCAAGAAATAGAATGTCTGCTGTAAAAATTATATTAAATACTAATTTTTACTAATTTTACTAATTATAGTCTTTAATGGGAGGTTTCATTCAAGCTCTCTGCCAAGGCCTCACAACATTCCTGGTTGTACAAGGTGTGCTGGAAAACACAGGTGGACATTTTCAAGCCATTTTTCATGTGAAATTCTGTGAACCTTTTGAAGAGGTTTCCATCACCGTGTCCCTGTTTTCACAATGCTGGATGCAGGCTGAACAGATTTGCACAAATTTAGGGCACAGCATATTGTCTTCCTGCACTGGAGGAATCCTGTGGCTCTTCCTGGCAAGTGTCAGCCACACAACACCTTTTCCTTCTTCGCTTAATTTAATTCTTCCATTCCCTGGGTGTTAGGAAAAGCTGTAGCTCACAGACATTGCCAGTAATTGGAATGGCTGTAAATATTTCATATGATAAGTTTGAAAGTGTCTGCTTTCTAGGCTTTTCTTTAGGAGTGTTTGGGTTGGATTTTTTTTATTCTTGAAAGTGAAGAAAAGAGAAAATGATTCTCCTCTCCCCGAGGATTCAAATAGCTGGTTATATCTACAGGGTTGCCCAATGTTCTGTATCATGCTTTATATCAGTTATTTTAAATACAAGAGGGCTGTACTGTGTAGTTTATCTGAATTATTCCTTAGAGAAAATATGAAAGGAATTTTTTCTCATTTAATTTCTTTTATTTTTCCTCACAGAATTAGAATAAGAAGCAAACAGACCTTAGAAATCCTAATCTGCTGGTAGAAATTTATGTGAAACTTTATCACAAACCTCTTGCATTCAGAACATTGGTTATACTGTGTCGTGTTAAAGATATTTTTAGTCGTGAAGATCAGTATTTGTTCAACATTAATTCAAACTCACAGACAAAAAAATACATAGCTGAAATAAGAACTGGTTATGCCATTCCTGTGTTATTCTTTGTGAACACGGTCATGGCAAAAGCTTCTTCCCTGAATTTGGTGTTTTGTTTTGGAAATGCATTAAATGTGTGTTACTGCTTTAGGTTGGAGGAACAAAAGCTGGAGTCGTGCGTTTTCTGGGAGAAACTGACTTTGCTAAAGGAGAGTGGTGTGGAGTGGAGCTGGATGAGCCCCTGGGCAAGAACGATGGAGCTGTTGCTGGCACGAGGTCGGTGCATCCCCAGATTTACTTTATGAGTTTTTTCTCTCTATTCTCTTTTGGGTTTTTTTTTATCTTTTTTTATCCTCCAGTCAAGGGAGGGAAGGAGGCTCTAAAGCTGCCTTGTCTTCTGGTGGTGGGGTGGGTTTGAATTCCCTGATGCCAACACTTCTCTCACATTCGTGGGATGAGCTGATCTCTCCTCCCGTGTGAGTTTTATTCATAGACTGGTAATGGAAAATGCAATTTCCTTCTTTTAAATGTGTTTGATTTCTCAGCTTGGAAGAAATGCTCAGTTAAGAAAATCTCTGGATATCCAATAGTTGTACTTAAGGGAAATCTTCCAGCATCCCAGGAGCTGGAAACTCCTGTTCCAGCAGATGCCTCCTGGTAGAGATGGAGGCAGTATAGCTGCTCCCTCCAGTAAGTCACAATCAGAAGGCATTAATTCACATGACAATTTAACTTTCTCATTTGCCATAAGGAATAGTCTTTTACCTCATTACAAAGAGGTTTTACTAAGATTGTCTCACCTTAACATAGATGATCACAGCTTAAAATTATAAGTGGCTTTTGTCTCTATTTAATCAAATATATATGTTCTGTGTCATCAAATATGCATAAACGGTATGTATGTAATAAAATATAAAACTACTTGATTTAATTAAAAGATAATTTCTATTTTTAACTCAGCCATCACATCTGTTGGCAGCTCAGAGGGATGTGATGAAGGGGAAAGCTGTGGATATAAAACTGATTCTGAATGAAATTTTTTAGGCTCTAGAGCTGCAGTGTTTGCTCTGAATTTCTGAAGCCTGATGTGATCCTGCTCTTTCAGACTCTCCAAGCCCCTTTCCCAAGTGGGTGTTAAACAGAGCTGCAGTCCAACACGGATGAGATCCCTATCCTTTAACATTCCATACTCCTGATCTAGAATTCTCCACGAGCCCAGCCCGTGCGGGTGTCAAGAACTCAACTCCTCTCTCCTCTTGCTTTTCCCTTGGCAGGTACTTCCAGTGCCAGCCCAAGTACGGCCTGTTCGCCCCGGTGCACAAGGTGACCAAGATCGGCTTCCCCTCCACGACGCCGGCCAAGGCCAAGCCGGCCGTGCGCAAGGCGCTGCCCACGCCCGCCGCGCTGAAGCGCAGCCCCAGCGCCTCCTCGCTCAGCTCGCTCAGCTCGGTGGCCTCCTCCGTAAGCAGCAAGCCCAGCCGCACAGGACTCGTAAGCTGCTTTTTCCTTCGCATGCTCCCCCTCCTCCCAGCCCGGGCCCGCCCGCTCGGCTCGGCTCGGCTCAGCTCAGCAGAGCGCGCTGCAGGGTTCGCCGTGCTCTTCTCCATTCAAAGCATGCATGAAGGAAGGAAATCTTAGCTAGCCCTGGAGAGCAGCTGCATAGTTGAATATTTAATTCAAGCTAACAGAGTGATTGCAATAAGAAAGGGGCTTAGGGCACCAACTAATTTCTCTGGCTGCAATCTGCGTTTAATTCATTTTCTGAGGATCTGGTGTGCACTGAAGCTTCCAGACGTCACACAGGTTTTATTTAAGTGGGAAGCTTCACGTTGGCTAAAATGTTCAAAATTTCCTTTTGCTGTTCAAGGGATGAGTCAGCTGAGAAATGCAGCAGAAGCAATTTCCGAGTCTCTGCTGACAAGAAGCCTCTTTCTTTTCTTTTAGATTTGGTTTTAATCCTATGAATTAATAAAGGCTGAGTGTTGCCAAGTGCAGTGGCTCAGGTGAAATCTAACACAGTACTAATTCCACCTAATACACTTACTATGGATTCTTTTGAAGTTGCTCTGTTACATAAATGTCCTAATCTTGGGTTGCAGCAGTAAAATGGAAATCTGGCAAGGCTGAATTTTGAGAAGACTCTTTTCTGGCAATTGAAAACATAGAGATAATTGGATTTTTCCACAGTCACCCTAGCTTTTTCTTTTTTTGTTTTTTTAAACCACAGTCCATAGAGAGATCTAATTAGGAAGGAGTGTCTCCTAGTGATGTGGAGCAGGTTCCCTGTCCCACTGTCCCACTGACCAGCAGGTGCCCAGAGAAGTGACTTACCCTGGTCCTGCAGGACTGACGCAGATTAACAGGTCAGCAGTCGGTCAGGGCACCAGGGTTAATACCTGGCCACAAAAAGGATTTTTATTTGGCACAAGCAGTGGGACTTCATTACTTAATCCATTCTGGAAGTTGCACTTGCAGCTACAGAGTGCCCTCTAGTTTGGGATCACAGCACTAACACGTGGAACTAAATGCTTTATTCCATGTGCTGTCATCTCCCAAGTTACACCTTGTGAATGTCTAAAATGTATTTGCTTATTTTGTTTTGTCCCAGGGATTTTGCATGGTTTAGGTCATAAAATACAAAGCTGCTGTAATCCATTGTTTCTGGAATTAAAATTCCAGCCTTTTTCCAACTTTTTTTCTCAGGCAGTGTGAACATTTGGTGGCCATCCAAGTTAAAAGGATTGTCCAAATAATTCTGAGACTTTTTCTTTAGAAGTTAAGCTGCTGGGAAAATGAGATTTCCTGTAATCAGTTTTGACCCAGCAGACTTTTCCTGCTTCAGTTTCTAGGAAAACAAACTTTTCTGGGGGTTTCTGGACTCTTAAATTGACTGCTCAGTTGTTCAGGGCTGTTTCTATTTCCTTTTTCCTGTGTAAGAAAAGCAGATGTCAGAGTAGGTGATCCAATGATTTAAGGGGCTGTCTGATGCCATTGGTGTTTATTTCCGAGTCTGAAGGAAGCTGATGCTTCTCTGAAGAGTTTTGGAATTGTTTTGCAGGTGGGAGTGAAGGGTGATTTGAAGACCCAAAACTTTTAGAAAGCGATACACTCTGGAATGGGGTTTTTTCTGGAAATTGGGAAGGTCTGAAACAACCAATGAAGCATCAGAGTGAAGGTGGTTTATTCTGCAGTGGATTGCAGAGTGTGCAGGGTGGGATGCAGGCTGGCAGGAGCTGGGGGTTGTGCAGCAGGGAAGGGGAGATGTCTGTGCTGGCAGCAGAATAATCCCTGCTGTGCTCTCAGCTGGGGCTGTTGGCCACTGCCAATTTTCCAGGCAGGCTGTGGCAGCTATTCAATGTTTTGATCTCTGGAATGATCATGCTCCTGGTTTTGGGTGATTAGGCAGAGCTAAAGGATATAACAGCAATTCTTGGTGATTTGGGGTTTTTTAAAAAATTACTGAGCTGTCATTCTCATTTAATACTTAGGCAAATTTCTCAGCTGTTAAAGACAGGTTTTGTGAACAGCATTTGGGGTTTTTTTGTTCAGTTTTTTTTTCTTTTTTCACAACTGTTGCTCACTTTACTTTGTAATTTCAGGTTATTTACTTTCCCTTCTAGCTCAGGAGCTCATGAGGGTGTAGCTGGTAGGGCCATAATGAATTTACCCTGGTACTGCTTCCATTCAGTGGGGCAAGGTCAAGGAAAACCTGGTTTCATTTTAGCTGTAATTCTTCTGATCAATTTTAATCTACATTCTTGAAACTTAATATTCCAGATCTTTTTCCCAGAAGTAATTTAATTCCAAGTGATAGAAACATTTATTTTATATACCAGTTGTTGTTCTTCACAAGGTTTTAGCTGTAGGGCTGGCTTTAGGTCAAGGTAAATGCTTTTCATCCTGGCTGCTTTGGCCATGGTAGAGGTGCCAGATGCTTGTGGGAATTCCCAAAGCTTTTCATGGAGCATTTGGAAGTGTTGGACTGCTGCTGGTGACCTAAGATAATGACCTGTTAAATAAAGACATGACATTTTTGGCTTGCTAGGAAGCTGCCTTTTTTTTTTTTTAATGTAAAAAGATGCTTAGGAGCATCTTGAGCCAGCCTTTGTGTGAGTCTACACCTTCAACTGAGGCCTTTTATTTTCACTATTAAATTCTGGAAAATGAAGTCATTTATGTGTAAAAGGAGAAGGTCCAGTAGGTCACAGAAAGCATTTGCTTTACTAACCCTGTGTTTGTGGAGTCTGGAGGTACCCACTACACCTTTGTTTCCTTTCTCTTGGTGCAGAATAATTTTTAACACATTTATTTTGTGAAGTTGACAGAAACCTCTTCCCGGTATGCAAGGAAAATTTCGGGCACCACAGCCCTCCAGGAGGCCCTGAAGGAGAAGCAGCAGCACATTGAGCAGCTCCTGGCAGAAAGGGACCTGGAGAGGGCAGAAGTTGCAAAAGCAACGAGTCACGTCGGGGAGATCGAGCAGGAATTGGCTCTGGTTCGCGATGGGCACGACCGGGTGAGAGAGTTACTGTTCTGAAACACAGTTAACACAATGGGCTTCACCTCCAAAATGGGCTGTTCCTATTGAAAAGGACTGGGAGTAAGAGGTGGTGTGCTAAAAGTAAAATAATCCATACCTGTGGAATCTCCCTTGTGGAATCTTTGGCTTGACGAGATATCAGATCTACAGAATTTAACTCATTTTTGTTGAATTTCACTGCAGTCTTTGATGATGTTCAGATTTGATAACATTCCTGTCACTTGGCCCATCACTTCACCAAATTGTGCTTACTGAGATACAGGTACATAAGTTGGAAAGAATTCCTGTATTTCCCAGCTTAGTAAATTTTGGTTTTGTTCCTCTTCCTGATTAGCATGTGCTGGAGATGGAGGCAAAAATGGACCAGCTCCGAGCTATGGTGGAGGCAGCTGACAGGGAGAAAGTGGAGCTCCTCAATCAGCTTGAGGAAGAGAAAAGGTAACCCCAAACTGTCCTCATTAATGTAATTAATGTTCCTCTTGTGCTCCCCTTGTGCATCTTGCTGTTCATCCTGTCTCCAGACATGTTTCTCAGTGCTGGAGTTTCAATGCAATTGTGACATCTTGAAGGCCTGTGAATACTTTGGATGTGTCCTGAATTTCTGACAGTTTCCTACATGAGAGGTAGAAGATACTGAATGTGAGATCAAACTGCTGATTCAGGTCACCTCAGATCATGCAGAAGGGTGACAAAAGGAGAGCATCAGTGGGGATTTAAAGGGCTTTAGTACAAAATACCCTCTTCAGAGCTGCAGGAGTTGTGATGCCTTGCTTTGGCACTGGTAGTGTTTTAAGGACAGAAGTTTTTCCTCCCTCTGATGCTTCCTGTGAGATATTTCTCCTTAATGTTCCTGGCAGTTTGCTGGTACAATGGGAATGTTGTCACTGTCATTCTGATTTCCATTGAAAAGTGAGCTTGAAAGCATTTGCTCCCAAAATTACCTGAATTTTAATGAGTTGTCCCCACAGGAAAGTTGAAGACCTTCAGTTCCGTGTGGAAGAAGAATCCATTACCAAAGGAGACCTCGAGGTAAAATATCTCCAGCTTTGTAAATGGGGTATCCAGGAGGGCACAGAAAGTCAGGAATCATTAAAAGATGCAATCCTGGTCCAGCCACATGAAAATGATACACATTTCTGCAGTCCTTTAGTAAACCTATTGTCCCAAAATTGCACGATTGCACCCCAAATTCAGTTACACGCTTTAGCAAAGGCTGTGCTATGGAAAGGATGTAGTTATTTAGAGAAATTAAATTAATTCATGGAAAATTCTACCTTTTGCTGTTAAAAGTAACCACTAAGAAAAAAAAATAATTTTGAAGTTACAAAATTGCAAGTTAATATTTATGCCTTTGAAAATGAATATTGAAGACTTATCCTGTTTGATCAATTTCTTGAGTAATTCCTGTGCTTCCCTTAGGGAAGGTTGATTAATGGAAAGTATTTTGTCCTGAGAGTTTGCACATAAAATCTGAATAGCAATTTGAGTGTGCAACTTTAATCTATTGTTTCTAGAACTGTAATGTTGGGCTACAGCACAGTGTGTTACTGCACAATCAGAATAGAAAACATTTAGGGAAGGATTGCTCTCAGGTATTTGAGCACTGCCAATTTTTTATCCCAAAATTCCAATTAATAAGCGAGATACTTTTAGTTGCTCTACTCTATTGTCTAATCAGAAAGATACTAGAATTTCTTGCACAGCATAAAGTACAAACTTAGTTAACTGTGTTGCTATAAAGCATTTGTGATTGAAGTGCTAGCCTTATGAAAAAATACTCATTTCATATAACATTTCTTTTATTTTAGTCTTCCATTCATTTTAAGATACCTATCTAGACTCTTCATAGAATGTTCCTTTTATTGTTTAGTCCATGAAAATATTTGAGTTTTTTATTTTCTGTTAAATCAATCGATAGTCGTGGCAAACCTTCCTAAAGATTCTGGTTTGTCAAGCTGCTTAACTTGGGGGTTTAAACTGAGCTCAAGCTGATGGAATGTCTCCTGTTGTTTGTGTTGGAATGGTAGTGCTGAGTCTGCAGGTGAAACATTTTTGTTTGTTTGTTTTTTTAATTTTACTGATAGCGAAAGAGGCAGATTTCGGAAGACCCAGAAAATGTAAGAGGGCACTTCAGTGTGCAGAGACATCCCATGTTAACAGATTGTGTGCAGAAAATGCTTATACTGATTCACTAACTGCATAATCTGTTATTGAGACATTGACTCTGGTTTTTGTGTGCATGTTGCTTTCAGAGCAATTACAACATTTCTTGGAAAGAATGTGTGTAATGACTAAACGTGGTAATGCCCATTAACTGCAGACAGGGCCAGTGTCGTTAGAATTCTTCAGGGTCAAGTCTTTGCAACTCACTGAAGAGTCCAGAAGCTTGCAGAGCATGATTGACCAGCATCCTGAAGTGGCCTTAATTTAAATGTAGGATTTCAGCTGTTTTCTCCACAAAATCCTGCCTGCTCTCCTATGAGATCCTGCTGCTGTTCAATAGATGACAATTTTTCTGAGAGAAAAAAATCTGTCTATTCTTCATCTTCCCTTATTTGTTTCCTTTTTTTCTGTATGAAATGCTAAGGGGAGAGATGATTAAAACCATCTGAACAATTACTGTGCAAAGCTGTCTGATTTTACTGTATCTTCATGTAGTTTCTCTTCAAATTACATAGGAAAAAAAATGTGTTACTTGATAATAGAAATGGCCATGCAAGATGTTTAAGGAGCCCTCTTGCTTCCCCAACTCGGAATAGTGGAATTTTAAAGGTAAATTTGTCCCAGGCTGCTTCCTCTGCTGCATCCACAGCCAAGATAGGAAGGTCTCAAGATTACAACTGGATCCTGCTGTGAATCCTTCCCTTTGCATAGATCCCTCAGGGATGTGGGTCTCCTCCAGTCTCCCCATCAGGCTGATGCTTTGTTAGAAATAAATCTGCATGTGCCCTTCCTTTCTCTTGTTTTGTGTACTCCTACTTTGATCCCATCTTTTCTCCTGACTTCCCTGTTCTGTTTCCGTTAAAAATGGAACATCTTCACTCTGCAGAGGAGAATTTCCAGGCTGACACTCCCTGATCCTGGTGGTGTCCTGTGATTGTGTCGCAGCATGAGGGGACTGGAGGGCGCCTTGCCCCACCCTAGAACTGATTTTTAGGATTTGTGGCCCTCAGCACAATTTCCCAGTTTGATGGAGAATGTCACAGTGAGGTTTATTCTGGAGTGAAGGAATAGCCAGAACACACAGGTTCTGGAAAAGGCTGACATCCAGCCTCTGAAGTTTGGGTGGAATTCTTGGGGTTCAAGGCAGAGTAAGAATCCCATTTCCACGTCACTTCCCTGATTGTGAAGCTCTGGAGAAGGGGAAGATGATTCCTTTGGCTCTGTTGTCTGTTTTTTTTCTTTCCTGCTTTTCTTTTCCATCCAAGTTAAGGTTTACAATCAAATTATTTTCTTCTTTTGGGGTACTCTCTCTTCTCAGTTCACTGTGTTCTGCATTTCCTCAAAGAGAATCATTATCAGTAAGAATTTCTCTCTAATCATCAGGAAAGAAATTTGAAAGTTCAAAATTTTGCAGCGATTTTTACCTCAGGAAGTCTGGAATCCCTCCCTTGGAAATCAGATTTGATTCAAGAATAATCTCTCATCTCTAAATGGGGAAAAATGTGTCAAGCAAAGATCTCTGGAGGATTCTTTTTAAATCTTTTATTTCCATTTTGGCAGGATTTTAGCTTACTTGCCTTTGTAGTATATAAGAGATGGGATTAAAAAGAACCTAGTAATCAGTGATGGTCTGTCTGATCTTTGGAGCACTAAAGCACTGTCTATAAAATTAATGATCAAAGAGTTTGGGTTTTATGTAGTGTAAAAAAAACATAAGGTTGCATATTCCAAAGGCACATGGGGAATTCTGTAACCATGAGATTTGGGATTTCTTGGGTTTTAGTAGATCCCCTTGGTGAATTGGAATTGAATTTCCAGCTTTTAAAGCAGATTGTTTTTCAGACTTACTTACAGTTTGGTTGTGGATCAAAACTAATACTGACCTGTGTCAGAGAGAAAACTGAATTGTAGCCACTTGCCTAATATTATTTCCCTTAGAATACTTAATTCCATTTTCAAATGCTATGGGCAGGAAAATGAATAATCTGTGTTCTTGTGGAGCATTTTTGCCTGTTACACCCTGAAGATCTCCCACTGAGAGAGAAACAAACCTGCAATGGAAGGAAACATCAACAAATCTAAGGAGCAACTTCCAAGTGTTTGTGGACCAAGGAACTCCATAGAAACATGGCCAACTGTTTTCAGCTGTTTAAAGAATTAGCTCCCTTGGATGTCTGGATGCTTTTGGGAAGGAAGAACTTGCTGCTGCCAGAAGGAATTCTGTGTTTGGAGAAGCAGACAAGAAGCTCATCCCCATCTTTATATTTCTCTTTCATTTATTTCTCTTCTCTACTTCAGAGGTGCAGGTCAGGTCTGAATTACCTGCTGGACTTTCCCTGCATCTCCCAAACTTCAGGCTCTCTTGCAGGCCTCAGTGAGTATCTGAATATCAAAGCAGAATATAAAATATTCTGTGTTCTTGCTAAAAATTCTGTTTGTAAGCAAAAGGCAGGAGGCACCTGCTCACTTGGGATCATCTGTGTCTCACTTCTCTTTAGGAGCCTGTTAGAATTCCAAAGATCTTACTTTTTTCTTACTTCCACATATTCTTCAATATATTTAGACATCAGTAACTGCAGAGCAACCAGGCTGATTCACTTTTTTATCTGGTTTTGAGGAATCTTGTTGCTTGCTTCCTTCCTGAAAGAGGAGAAGAGAGGGGAAAAGGGGAGGGTTTAGGAGTTAACAGACGACCATTCTCTTTCTATATCTGTTCAGGTAATTCAAACCATAGTGACAGAGGAGCCTGCATGTTCCCAGGTCTTGGCCAGAAGCATTTTTATGGCTGAGACTTAGAGACAGCTACTATCAAAAAAAAAGAAAGTTAAAGGTTTGATTTGTCATATGAGCTTAAGTGGAGAATTTTTGTCCCCTTGTTAGTAAGTAATTTTTTTATAAAACCAGCCAAACACATTAAAGGAAAAAGGTAGTGGGATAACAAGGAAAGGAACTTATCATCCTGTTAGAACAGGAAGAGATATATATGCACATATATATTTTTTTGACATAACTATTCTAATTTGTGCTGAAAACTTCATGTACTGATAAATAACTTCTACTCAGCTGCATGGAACTTTTTTTGTTCACATTTCTCCGTTTGCTGTTCATTTGTTTATTTATTTATTTTACACACTTGATTTCATTTTTACACGCCCATCCATTCACACCTCCAACCCATCCTCCTCATCCATAGCATTTCCCTGTCCATTTTCCCCCCCTTGCATCCTCTCTGCTCACCTGTTAGAAGGCTCTGGCAGCACGGCCTGCATGTGGCTCCTCCTCTTGTGCTGGCATGTGATGGTGGCACCGTTGTGTTCTCTTCCTCTCCCTCTCCACTAACAGACGCAGACCAAACTGGAGCATGCCCGCATTAAGGAGCTTGAACAGAGCCTGCTCTTTGAAAAGACCAAAGCTGACAAACTCCAGAGGGAGTTAGAAGACACTAGGGTAATGGTTTTCCCTGTTTGAATAACGAGCCTGATCTGTGTTGTGGAAGATTTCTGATGGCACAGTGCCGGGGGTGACACGTGCTGGAACAGGTCCTTGCTCCTGCCGTAGCCAGAGCTGGAACACTGTAAAAAATTAGGATTAATTTTGAGCTTCCATGGGGTGTGTGTGTGTGCCTGGACATGTGACTCGTTGAAGAACTCAGGTAAGATGTCTTCACACTGCAAAAGAAATCCTTGGATCCAAAAGTAGCAAGATGGGATCATGAATTGACAGAAAGGAACATTCAGTAGCTCATTTTAAAAACTAGCAGAGTTCATTAAACCCAAAAAACCCAAGTCCTTTTAGCACAAATGGAGTATTTGGGGCTTGGTTTCTGAGCTCTTCAGTAGCTGCTGCACTACTTGCTCTGCTAAATCATGGTTTGCAGTAGCTTTTTAGCTCTTTTTTTCCCACCAATGATATAATATTTTAATGGATATCCCAGCAATTAGTAATACTGCTGCTTGTCAGAATATTACTGACATACTTTGTACCAAGTCAGAAGTTCAGCAGATGTCAGTCAGTTCTTAAAGAGAAAAATATATATATATATACACACACACATATATTGATGCTCACACATGGGGATTTTCTTGAAGGTCAGGTGGGATTAATAAAAAAGCCCAGGATGAATATAAAACCAACAATTGAATGTGTACTAAGTACTTTTAAAGGGCAACTGTGGGTAAGTAATAGCTTCTTCAGAAAGTCAAAGCAATAACTTCCCAATTAGAATTAATTCTGGGAGCTTTGCTGTAGCAAAAATTGCTCCAACAGTCAGTGGAAAGCTTAGATAGTGTGAGGACACTTCTTCAGAGAGAAGCAGGTATAGAAGGGATTTCAGAGGATTTATCAGTTCAAATTGTGTTTGTCATTTTCTGACAGTCTTACAACTGCTGTGAGATTAATTTAGAAGAAATTATTTCAACAAAGACCTCAAGGTTCTCCATTCTTTTCCAGTCTAGAAATGGTTCTGAGGAACACTTTGTTAATCGTTGATAATACCCCTCAGGGGTAAATTTTTTAGCAATTCCTAGATACTACCAGAAGAAAAAAATTCAGTAAATTCAATGTTTATAGACAATATAAGATGTTTGTCATATGAATTGTGGACATTTTCCCCTTTTTGAAGCAATTTGCAATGCTCGGTGGAAGCTTTTCAGCAAGGCCTGAGTGTCTTTGTATGAAATGTATCTTTTATAATTCTTCTTTTCTTAAAATGCTGTTGATCATAGGTGGCCACAGTGTCAGAAAAGTCCCGGATCATGGAGCTGGAGAGGGACCTGGCACTGAGGGTGAAGGAAGTGGCTGAGCTCCGAGGGAGGTTGGATTCCAGCAAACACATCGACGACGTGGACACTTCTCTCTCCTTGCTACAAGAAATCAGTTCTTTGCAAGAAAAAATGGCAGCAGCTGGCAAGGAACATCAGAATGAGATGAACTCACTGAAAGAGAAGTTTGGCCTTAGTGAGGAAGCCTTGCAGAAAGAGATCAAGTCCCTTTCAGCTTCAAATGAGAGAATGGCAAAGGAAAATGAATCCTTGAAAACCAAGCTTGACCATGCCAACAAGGAAAATTCCGACGTGATTGAGCTGTGGAAGTCCAAGCTGGAATCTGCAATTGCTTCCCATCAGCAAGCAATGGAAGAGCTGAAAGTTTCTTTCAGCAAAGGTGTTGGGGCTCAGACAGCAGAATTCGCTGAGTTAAAGACTCAGATTGAGAAGATGAAATTAGACTATGAGAATGAAATGGCAAATCTAAAGGTGAAGCAGGAAAATGAGAGATCTCATCACTTGAAAGAGATCGAGTCGCTGAAAGCAAAACTGGTGGCAGTCACGGAGGAGAAAGAGCAAAACCTGGAAAGCCTGAAGACCAAACTGGAAAGTGTGGAAGATCAGCATCTAGTAGAAATGGAAGACACTTTAAACAAATTGCAGGAAGCTGAGATAAAGGTAAAGGAGCTAGAGGTACTGCAAGCCAAGTACAATGAACAAACCAAAGTTATTGATAGTCTTACACCACAGATCAAAGCTGCTGAAGAAAAGCTTTTGGACCTTGCTGCACTTGAGAAAGCCAATTCTGAAGGTAAATTGGAAATCGAGAAACTTAGCAAGCAGCTTGAGGCAGCTGAGAAACAAATTCAGACTTTAGAGACTGAAAAGGGTGATGGAATTAGCCAGGTTTGTATCAACATCCATCCTTTCAGTTTTCTTTTGCTTTTATTTTACATTTGTACCCTTTTAATCTGCTATAGGAAATACATCACAGAAAAAAGGAGTTTTACCAAATGTGTATCTTGGGACCATCTGAGGAGGTTGAGAGGAGCATTAACTGGGTCGTGTCTCAACAGGTTTCTGCTGCTCCACCTGCACCAATAAGCAAAAGGAATAAAAATCCTTCTGCACTTCCTTGCTGCAGATTTGGGCATGTCTGTGCTTAAATCTTTCTGTTATGGAAAAATGACTTTGTTGGCTTGTTTGGGAGAAGGGTCCAGACATCCTAAGGCTTTCACCTTTGGGAATAGACAAGGGGACTTGGGACTCAGTGAGGAAATATTTCCTTCATTACCTTTCCCCTCCTGTGACAAGGTGATGGAAGAGGCTTTTAAAACAAAAGAAAGCACAGAACTTTTCTTTAAGCCCAGGCTCTGCAGGGATGTTTTTGGCAGTGTTTCAGGCGCTTTGGAACCACAGACTGCAGCTTGGTGCAGGATTTTCCTCGGGTTTGGATGAAACACCTCTGTAAAGCTGATGGTAGTGAAGAGTAGTGGGAAAATAACTAGAAAAAGCTTTCCTAAACTCTTCACAGGTGGTTCCAAGATATCAAAATTTTACGTTTGATTCTCTTTTTGAGTCCACACTGGGTTTCTGCACTACCCATGAGTGTGGTACAGAGATTTCCTCCCCTTGTGTGTGTATTGATCTGATCAGCCAACTGAAGCACAAATCAATCAATCAGTTCAAAAAATGAAAACAATTAAACCAAAACTACTGATTGAACTAATGCTGAAACTTTGAAATTGTGAGTGTATTCAAAAATGTCTGCCATTAAGTAATGTATTCACAGTTATTGCCAAAAGAACTAAATTTTAATGCTTTCAAAATTATTCCAAGATGCAATTAGTGCTGTGATGTATGTAGTCATCAGTGGAAATCAGCTTCACTCAGTTAACCCATCATGGTTTCTTCTTAATTTTTCTTTTATTTTTCATCTTAGAGTGATTTTAATGTTAGTTATTTCTTTCAGATTCACTTTTTAATTTTCCTAATTTTTCATTCATGTTTGTCATTTTATTTTACTCCATTTCATCACCTCTGTTAGGCCAGTAATCTGGCCAAAGAACTGCAGGGCAAAGAGCAAAAGCTTCTTGACTTTGAGAAAAACTTGAGTGCAGTAAATCAAGTTAAAGATTCTTTGGAAAAGGAACTTCAAGTTTTGGTGAGTAATACCCCAAAATTTTGACTTTACTCTTTGGATTTTGGGTTACATGGTGAGAGTGTAATGGAAGTCTGTGGATCAGCTCTGAACAAAGCTTTCCAAAGGTGTTTTACTCATGGAAAAAAATGGGAAGGGTTCATAGCTAATGGGACCCGTCTCAGAATAAAAAGAGCATTTCACCTCAGTTCTGTGTTACCAGGTGTTTTGCCTAAATAGAACTCATCTATTTATGGATTGCAGATAAAATTAAATCTAAATCAGCAGCAGTTTAAATTTAGACTGCTCGTTAAGGAACACTTAATGGCCCTTTATTGTAGCTGTTGTGCCAATTAATGCTTGCTGCACACTTCTTATAAATGGTTTTAAAAGACATTTCTCATTTAAATAAATTTCCAAATACTGTGTTGTTGGGTGGGGTTTCCCTGAGGAGCTACACTGGCATTAGTAACAAAACCATAGGATTTTTGGTCTTTCCATGGCCAATAGTAAATATTCAAACTTGGTGGAAGAGCCTCACTTGCCTTCCTGAAAATCCTCCCTCTTTGTCATTGGCTGGCATCAATTCCTGCTGGTAAAACTGGAAAACACAGGTAGGAGATGGTTCACAGGGCTACAGGTGTCCTCTGTGCAGCCTGGCAGCAGCAGGGATAGAAACCCCAAATTCTTGTTCCTACCCTGAGCTCTGTGGCAGCTGATGGAGGAGCTGCTTTAAATGTTGAGGGACTTGCAGTCAAGGCAAGGGAAGACCTGTGCTAAGCTGTAACTCAAAAACTTGAGATCTGTTTATGATAGGAGCAAAGACTGTTCTATTTGTAAGTGAAAAATACCTAATACGAATTCAGTGGTTGAATTGTGCTGTTACTACCAAGCCTCACCTTAAGTTTTCATCAATTTTTCAGAAAGAAAAATTTACTAGTGCAGCTGATGAAGCAGAGAATGTTCAACAAGCTATGCAAGGTATGTGCTGCTGAACTAACAGAGAATTAAAAAGCTGCAGAAATGAAATGCCAACAGAATGGCTTTTTTAAACACTTTCAATCTCATAGCTGATGCCAAAGCAGTTTCAGGGGCTGTGGAAAGGACAGGTGTGGGATTCAGATGCAGTCAAAGAAAGAAACTGAGAGTTTCTAGCCGGGCAGACGCCTGAGAAAGAGCTGGAGAGAATGTAAATAATTCTTTATCTCTCTTGTTTTTCACATTGTTTATAGTTAAGTTCTATCACTGTGCGTCAAGCACTCTGCACCAATGCTGTGGATTTGGTCCTTGCGAAGCTCTGTATAAAAGAGCAGTGTATTTTGAATAAATCTGAGTTTTTAGTATTACAGCCTTCTGAGTCAGAGTCTTCTCATTCCCATCCTGCCCCGACAGTGACAGACAGGATTATTTGTAGCCTCTCTGAGGGGTAACATACCTTGCAAGTAGGTAGAATTATCTGCATTTAAATAAGTTACTAACTTTGTTTTCCAAATTTTCCTTGCTTAGAAACGGTGAAGAAGCTGAACCAAAAAGAAGAGCAGTTTGCACTCATGTCTTCAGAACTGGAGCAGCTCAAGTCTAGTTTGAGTGGTAAGGAAGGGATGAAATGGAATGTTCTGGAAATGCATCAGCTTTGTGCTCTGGCCTGGCTCCTGTAACCTGTAGAAGGCTTTGCTGTGCCTTTCATTTCTTTACATCTCAGTCAAACCAGTGCAGAGGGATTGGTGCCCTGAAGCAAGCCTTGCCTGGTGGTGGGAGAGGTGATCCCAAGGCTGCCCTTGCTCCTGGCAGTGTCTGCCCTGAGGCATTTTTTCACTGGAGCTTCGTGTTGCCTTCTTTGTTCATTTTCTGCTGCTCTGCTGAACAGCTGATGAGTGCTTTCACCTGCAAGACCTGCAGGTCTCTTCCTGCATTGCTTCCTTCCCCTCTGAGACAGCAGAACTTGTACCAACATCTCATGGCCTGAAGTGAATCACTTCTGAAACAAATGACCAGCTTCTCTTTGCTGTTTCTGAAGAGTCCTTAAGCTTTTGCTGCAGTTACCAGCTCAATCAAGCATTATTTTTCTTTTTAAAGGGTTGATCTGTGAGATCTGGACCATCAGTATTGCTGGTTTTAGTTCTTTACAGTTCTATAGCTGTATAGAATTTTTGTATATCCTTCCTCTAAAATTTACAGTTTAACCACCTTTGTTTTGCTCAGAGATGGAGAGGAAGCTGAGGGAGCGAGAAGAGAGGGAGCAGCAGCTGATGGAAGCAAAAGCCAAACTGGAAAATGACATTGCAGAGATCATGAAGTCGTCAGGAGACAGCTCTGCCCAGCTCACAAGAATGAACTATGAGCTGAGGTTAAAAGAAAGGTATTTCATCACTGTCAGAGCATTGTCACATCAGATCTCCACTCCCACACTTCCAGCTTCTCATTTCATTTTTCTGTAAATATCTGAACAAGATGCTCCTGAATGTCACATTGATATGACAAGTGAGCTTATTCTAGCAAAGTAAATCAATCAAAACAGTCTCCTGGGAGTGATTTGAAGAGCATCCAACACTCAGAATTCCAAAATTCTTACATAACATGCTTCTTATTGCCCACAGTAGATGACCTCTTGAATAATCCAGACTGTTTTGTGATTGTGCTTCATGATTATTTGATTACCTGATTAACTCAGTTTATTTAGATATAGAAAATACTTGGGTCATATTTTTTATGAGAGAAAATGTAGGGTTTTTTCCCAAATAAAAATTGTAAGTACGATATTGGGGGCAATATAACTCGATCTTCCTGTTTAGCAGAGCACTATCTGTTAAACAATGAAATCTCTTTCTAAATGCTTGGTCAGAATATAGAACTTCAGCACAGTCTTGGCTCTTTCATCTCTGTGCTTGTGGTGCTGTCAGCAAAAAGTGATGTTCTTTCATTTGGTCTTTCCAGGCAGTTGGAGCAAATACAGCTTGAGCTTACAAAAGCAAATGAAAAGGCTGCTCAGCTTGAGAAAAACCTGGAGCAGACAACACAGAAAGCTGAGCAGAGTCAGCAGGAAACTCTCAAGATTCATCAAGCAGAACTGAAAACTCTGCAGGATCAATTAACAGACATGGTAAGGACAATTTTAAAAGCACTAAAACTGTGCAGAAGTATGGTCCCACCGCTGCTTGAACTGTGTTTTACTGTCTTCCCTTCCCCCAGAAAAAGCAGATTGAGAGCAGCCAGCATCAGTACAAAGATCTTCAGGCAAAGCATGAGAAAGAAACTTCTGAGCTGGTGGCTAAACACGATGCAGATCTCCAAGGGTTTAAACAGAACCTGCTGGATGCAGAAGAGGCACTGAAAAGTGCCCAGAGGAAAAACAGCGAGCTGGAGGCACAGGCTGAGGAGCTGCAGAAACAAGCAGAGCAGGCCAGAGTAAGTGGCTTTTGTCACTCTGCAAGTTTAAATTTTCTGTCTCAGTGACTCGTTTTCTCTCTGCTTCAACTTCTCATAGCCGGATTTTTGTAGTTTTTCGGTTTTGAACTTTCCCAGGGTATGTGGGCATGGGTTAGGGAGGAGAAGCCCACAGGACAAACTGGTTGTTAGTTCTTCTCAGTTACACAAGAGTTGATGAGATACAGTTCTTTGATATCAGTTAACATTTTATGTTCATAGATCTGGCTCAGCACAGCCAGTTGGAGCCAGATGTCATTCCCTGTTTTTTTATATGCGTGGATTTTAAGATGCATTGTGAACCACTTCATTTAGAAGTGCTACACACCTTTTATTTTGTAGTATGAGCTGCAGCTATTCAGTGTGTAGCCTGACTTAAGTAATTTTAATTTTTCCTCCTGTTTCTTTGACTTTACTGCTTGCTTTCATCCCTCAGCAATTATTTGCTATAATCTTTGCTGTATGATTTAGCAAATTATTTAGTGTATAGATTGACACACAATATTGACAGAACTGATGTGGTGTTTTGAATTAAAGGGATCATGACAACATCTTTTTGAGAGAATCATGAGGAGGTGAAACTGAGAATTGTAAGTCAGTTTCCAATAGAACTCCTTGCATTTTTAATTCACTTAGAGTCTCATGAAATCATTCTGTGGCTCTTCTTTTGAATAATTTACAGTCAATTTATTGAGAATAGTTTTATAAATTACATGAAATTTTGGAGGAACCTTTAAGCCATTATATTTTTAATATTATTTAGCCATTAAAAACTTCTTGTGGATGATGCATGTTCTGTAATGTAACAGGGGTGTCTGTCAACAGTTGAGTTCAAACAGGCACTGTGTGTCAGTATATACACTTTTAGAACTTAAATTACAGTTGCTCTATTTGCCATTAAAGCACATTTCTCATTTGTCTGCTTGACTTGATTTTTGTTTTCCCTTCTCCCTGACTTTATTTTAGTCCTTAAGCTCTGTGTTAGCTTCATCCAGAAAAGAAATCGAACAAATGTCAGACAAGCTGAGGGCTTTGATATCAGAAAAAGAGACTTTGGCACAGGAGGGGAATACTTTAAAATTAGAGAGAGGTCCCTTGTTATCAAAACTTAAAGAATTGGAATCAAAGATTTCCTTAATGCAACAAGACCAAGAAGAGCTGAAGGCAGAAAATGAAAGAATCCTAAAGCAGAAGGAAGAAGCTGAGGCCAGAAGCCAGCAGGAGAGCACAGAAAAGGGAGCACTGGTCTCTGAGAAAAGCAAATTACTCTCTGAACTCGAGGCAGTGCAGGCACAGCTGCTGAAGGTGGCTCAGGAAAATGAGGCTCTCCGGTCCTTGGAGTTAATCTTGTTCCAAAGGCTGGAGGAACTTCAGGCCAGCAAAGATGCCATGGATTTGGCGTGTCAGAAACGTGACAGAGAATGGGAAGAGCTGGAGAATTACCAGAAGAGACTTTTGGAAGAGAAAGATGCAGTTCTAAAAGACAAAGATGATGTTATCCAGAAGCTGGGAAGTTCTTGTGAGGCCCTGGCCAGAGAGCAAAGGGAGCTCCAGCAACAAGTGTCAGCTCTGGCTGCAGAGAGAGATTCAGCCCTAGGGGAGCTCTTGGCTCTTCAAGACAGACACAAAGCCCTGGAAGAGGAGCTGGGCAGGGTCTTGCAAGGCCTGCAGGAGGAGAAGGAGATGCTCCTCAAAGGCACAGAGAAGCTGCAAGTGAGTTTAGACAAGGCAGTCAGTGAAAACCAAGTGTTAAAAGTGAGAGGAGAGGAGATGCAAACCCAGCTCACCAAAGCGATGAAAGACACCGTGGAGCTGCAGAATTCCCTTGAGAACCTCACTTGTCTTCTTGAGGAAATGAAAGCCTCAAGAGAGACACTCAGTTTGGAATGTAAGCAGTTACATCAAGAGAAAGAGGCTCTTTCCTCATCAGAACAAAGGCTTTTGGCTGAAAAGGAGCAGCTTCTCAATGAAAATCAGGCAACTGCTGAGAAGCTTGCGAAGGCCTCAGCAGATGCTGAGCTTTGTGAGAGAATCTGCACTGAGAAAATGAACAAGCTGACCTTGGAGAAGGAATCTGTCCTTCAGAAGTCGTTGCAGTTTGAAAAGCACAATGAAGCTCTTCTCCAAGAGAAGAAGGAACTGGAGACAAAATACTTGGAGCTTCTTGATGCAAACAAGTCTTGTGCAAAGGCAGTTTCTGATCTGAAGAGAGAACGTGAGCTGGACCTCTCATCCAGGAATGCTCTGGCTCAAGAGAATGCCACACTCCGAGATTCCATTGAAGCCCTGAAGGGAGAACTCGGTAAGAAGACTGTAGAAAATCAAGAATTAATGGCCTGTAAATGTGACCTTTCCAATCTTCTGAAGGAGGCCCAGGATGCCAAACGAGCATTAGAAGTTGCGCTGGCTGCTGCATCACACACCGAGCGGGTCCTGTCATCTTCCTTGGACGCTTGCTCCATTGCCAGGGAGAGGGATGAGCTGCAGGAGGAGTGTCAGAAATTAAACAGAGAGGTTGCTCTTATGAAAGAAACCTTAACCATGGAAAAGGAAGCTCGAAAACTGGATGAGAAATCATTTCTGTTGGGACGTACAGAACTTCAAAAGAACATCTGCTGCTTAGAGAATGAGCTAGGAGAGCTGAGAGAGAAAAATAAAATTCTGGCTGAGAAAGCACTTTTCATTCAGGAGAAAGAAAAATGTAAAATGAAACTGGTGGAAATAATGAGTGAGGAAAAAGTCCTCAGTGCAAAGAAAGAGCAGGTCACTGCCAGCATGGAGCGACTGAGGAATGCCTTTGCTTCCGTGACCAAATCAGCAGCAGAATTCCGGGGTGTGCACAGCTGCATTGCCAGGAAGATGGATGTGCTTCAACACGAGATGGAGCTGATGGAGAAGGAGGGAGCTGAGTACCTTCAGGATCTGGACAGCCTGAGGAACGAGCAGAAAAGTCTGCTCATCAGTCTGAAGGGACTATTGAATAAGATGGGGAAATTCTTCCAGGATTATTACAGACTCTGTGATGAGGTTAAACTTTTAGAAAAAACTAACAGTGACCTCTCAGACAAATTGCTGGAGTCTCAGGGCCAAAATCAGATGCTGCAGGAGCAAATGAACAATCTGATTTTGAAAGTAAAAGAAATTGAGACTCTCCAGGCCCAAGCAGTAGTACAGGAACCAGAGGTATTTAAATTCAAAGTTAAAAGTCAAGTCTGCGTCTGGTTTTACTAATCCTGAGCACTAATCCCTGGTGTCCTCTCTGCACTTCACTGCACTCTCAGCACTTCATAACACACTGCAGCTGTGGGCTCTCTCAATATGGTACTTGGGGGTTGTTGCAAGTTGCAACTGTGAGTCTGAAAAACACTTTTTTTTTTTTTTTTTAGTTTTTTTTAACTGCAAAAGCCTCTGTTGTTGCTGAATGTTGCAAGAAAACAATATAAACTGTGAATAAAAGGATGTTGTGTTCCCTGAATCTGGTAGGAGACATTGAGCAGCTCCTTCTGGTGAAGGACTCTGCAGCTTAAAATCTAAAGTAATAGTAGATGAGGTTTTGATTGAATCTTTGTGCAATTTTATGTACAATTACAGCAAACTACCAATCTGAGTTACTCCAAAAATATAAAAGAATGTGCTGCTTCTGGAAATGTAGTTGTATAAAAGCAGTGTGAGAGAAAGGGAAAGATGTTGATAATTCTTGGTGCTCTTTTTATTCACAGACGTGTTTTGTATTCACCACCAACAAATTCTTTATAAAATACTTTGATTTTCAGTTTGTGTGGCTTGAAGCCCAGAAAATCACATTGAATGCAAATTGGAATCAGGAGATCCTATAGATGACACCTGCCTAAGTATTTTAATATCATTGTGCAATATTTCCTTTATGAGGCCGTAATGAACAACACTGAAATAATGCAATAATTGGCTTTATCTCTAATTCCATTATTTTCCAAATTTTGGAGGTTTTGTAATTCTGTATGTTCTGAAAATATACCAGGCTGTTGGAAGTGAATATCTGTTGAATTTCTACTGCCTAAAGAAGTGAGAGGTCTGAGAGCAGTTACAGTGGTGGTAATTAGAAATCCAGGAATTAAAATTCTTCAGTGGTGACATGAGCATGAGGTTATTATCTGTTTCTGCATGGAATTGAATCTTCAGTTCATTTTATACTTTATGCAGCTCCAAAATTCAAATAAATTCCAAGTTTAAGTCCTTACTTACCTGGGGAACAGCTGACAAACCATGGAGCTGTGCATAAAGGATTGATCTTTTGCTGTCAGAGTTCCTGTTGGGAATAACTGTTTTTTTCCACACTTTCCTTTAAATCCAGGTGGCCAAAGTGGCAGAAGATGTTTTCCAGGCAGTGGAGCAGGTGACCAAGGAGAAGGATGCCATTCACAAAGAGAAGATTGAAACTTTGGCCTCTTTGGAGAACTCGAGACAGACAAACCAGAAGCTGCAGAATGAAGTAATCACATTAAATGCTTTTCTGTGAAAAGTTTTGCCTTGTTTGTGAGAGCACCTGTTGAATTGTAGAGAATTGAAGTAGGCAGGAGAGGATTCTGTCATTTTCCCACTGTGAAAAATTACTGGATGAGCACAGGGTGATGGAAAATGCACGTGGTTTTCTGGTCATGGTTATCCTGGTGTCAGTCCAAGGTGCAGCAGTTCCCGTTGGGATCTGTGTCCATGTCTTCCCACCACTCTGTGCTGCTCCAGGGCCTGAGGAAGGGGAGGATGCCCTCAGCCTTTGATGTTCTGCCCTGCAGAGCCCTGGAGTGAGCAGCTGGGCTGGAGCCGGGGCGATTTCCAGCGGGATCTGCCGGCGCGGAATTAGAATTGCTGACGTTCATGTGGGAGGGGTTCCCTTCCTGGATTAAAAAAATCCACAGGGTCCTGCAATGCCATGAGAATGGCTGCAGATTATGTGTTATGTAATAAATACACTCTGTGGTGCATGCAAACCAATCAGCTCCACGAGCTGCTGGTGTTTCCGTGAGGGACACGAGCTCAGGAAATCCATGCCCAACACTTTGTCCCATGCAACAAGATCTCTGCAAGGAATTTATTTCCTGTGGGTGCAGGCACTGCATTCAGCCCTCCTGACTCTCAGAAAATAAGGTATGGAAAAGCAGAATTTGTGAGTTATCTTAGTGGAATGAAGATCAAGGGGGCAGCTGGTTTTAGCAACAAGCTGTGCATTTAAAGAGTAATTAATGCTCTGAGGGCTGCAGCAGTTAATGGAGGTGAGGATGCTTTGGGCTTTACCTTGGGGTGTTGACATCACATTCCTGGAAACTGCTGTCCAGTGGGCTTGGAATTCTTTGTGCTGCTCTATTTGAATGCAGAAGGTCTCATAACATTTGTTGTTGGACAAGCACATCAGTCCAGACAGGCTGGGTTAATTTAGGAGCTAAAGATAAAAAATGGAAGAGCTCAAGCCCCCATTTGGCTGAGGGTTGTTTCCTGAGAACTGTGTGGTTTTGTTGGTGTAATGAGGGTTTTTTTCCTCTTTAAGTTGGACATGCTTAAACAAAACAACCTGAAAAATGAAGAGGAACTTAATAAATCAAAAGAACTTCTAAATCTGGAGAACAAGAAAGTGGAAGAACTTAAAAAAGAATTGTAAGTATTTCAGTGTTAAATCTGTTTATTTTTGTGGGTATATTTACCTTTACTTTTTTTTAAATTATCTTTGAACACCTTTCTGGTATCCTGACCTATAAAGCAGATATTGGGTGAAAATTAAATGTTTGGCATGTGCAAAACTTGGCATGAGAATGTTGCTACTAAGTTGCAGAAGGGAATTAAAGCAAATCCTTGGAGAATAGTTTGAAATCATTTGTTTGTTGGAGGGTTCTGCCACCTGAGGACATGAGATAATATTATAATCTTTATTAGAAGAGAATTCTGATTTATTTACAAGTACATTTGGAGTTTTAAGTGGCTTTGTTCATAGAAACTTGACTCTGCTTTTATTTTTCATTTAAGCTTTATGAAGTTTATTTCTGTGGCCCCACTGTGTATTTATTTCCTAAATGGTGTAAACCAAATCCTGTATATGGGATATAAAACTCGAGTTAATTGTTCAGTATTTGAGCTGCTACATTTTACATACTACAGGCTCAAGATGTGTAACGCTGGACACAAACCAATGAACTGAAAGCATTTGATATAAAGTAATTTGCCCTGTGGTATCTCATTGTAGCAAAGCTGCTGCTGTGCTGCAGGGAATAAAGATCCCAGTTATTGCTGCCCTGCAGGGGCTGCACATCCCCAGCTCTCAGAGGTGTCCTGCATTAAATCACAAACCACTTCCCACCTGTGTGCTCCCAGAGGAATCTCTTGGCTCATGGAGTGAGAGCTGGAATCTCACTGACAGCTTAAGAGCAGCTTTGACTAATTATTATTATTATTATTATTGTTAGAATTATATTGTAGTTCCATTTGACAGGGCCTGTGGCTGCTCCCCTGGCCACCCCTTGGGAATTCCTTGCCAGGAACATGGATCATTTCAGGCACAGTGACCCCAGTATTGGGTGTGGAGTTTTTCTAACTCCTTAAATAATCTGTGCCTTAATGCCAGAAGAAAGAGGAGGAGGGGTTAGTGCTGCACCTCAGCAAGGAGACGGGGTTAGAAATAGGGTTAGAAATAGGGTTAGAAATAGGGTTAGAAAGTGTGGTCCTGCTCAGCACTGCTGGGGGTGGGAGCAGATTGCTCCAGTCCAGGGGATCAAGGTGGGAATTTGCCAAGGTGAGACCAGGTAGAAGGAATGGTTGAAAGATCAGACTCCTTTGAGATGCTGAACTAAAATCAGACTTTTGTCTAAATGTGCCCAGTAAGAGACAACAGATCCTTGTGTTTTGAAGTGCTTGAATAAGTTTCTGACGTAAGGGTGTTTCTGCTTCCCACAGTTATAAAAGTATTTTTAATATTCCAGTCAGGGTTTAAGTCTGTAGTATTGGCACACAGGAATACTGCATCTCCTTTTTTAAAAAACAAAAGAGTAATAAAAATTACTGTTCAGTGAAATTAAGGGTATCTTATGTGCTTTTTGAAAGACGTCAAATCTTAAAGATTTTCTGTTTAGTCACTCATGTTACAGCCAGCATGCTAAATATTTTTAAAAATTTGTTGCAAATAAACATATTTTAAGGAAACTATGCTCATTAGTAGCAACACAGGCTGATAAAAGCTGCAAAGCCTTTTTTTCTTCAGCTTTGGTTTTGTCTCATTTGCAGTTGTGTCTGTTAAAATAATGGAATAGATAAGGTTTTGCTTCCTGCGATCCTGCACTTTTGGATGTCAAACCTGGTAGGGAGTAGTTAACTAAGTGGAGCTCAAAGCTGGTTTTTTTTCCTGTTGCGTTTTTTCCGAGTTTTCTTTCTTTTTTCATGCTTTTAAGCAATTCTGTTCTACCTCTGGCTGCAAAGTTCCCTTCTGTGAGCAGTCGCGGCTGCAGCCATGGCCAGCGCTGCCGCCCACGGCAATTCCCGAGTACCTGGAGCAGTGGCAGGGGAGGCTCCCCCCGTCCCCGTGTCCCCGGGGTTGGCACCGCGGTGCCCGATCCCAGCCTCGTGACCCCGATGTATTTTTCCAAGCTGTGAAGCCGCCTCTCTCCCCCGGTTCTCCCTCGCCTCTCCTGTTCCTATGGTAACGATGCTCTCTGTGTGCTCGCAGCGAAGCGCTCAAGCTGGCAGCGGCTCACAAGTCCCAGCAGCTCGAGGCTCTGCAGGAGGAGAACGTGAAACTGGCCGAGGAGCTGGGCAGGAGCAGGGACGAGGTGTCGAGCCACCACCACAAGGTAGAGCGGCCGCAGCGGGCGGGTGGAGGCTCGGCCGGAGCCCCGGGGAGCCCCGGGAGCCCCAGCTGGAGAGGCCGAGCGGTGCTGGGAACGTTCGAAATAAATTTGGAAGCCACCTGCACGGGGAGGTTGGAAGTGCAGGCTGACAGAAGGTTACATAACCTGGGAAGGATACTTGGGAAGGCTTGGGAATGAGCATAAATTAAACGTGCTTTAGCCAAGTGTATTAACAGAGAGTTGCTATTTCTGTCGGGAGTGATTTTGTTACACAGCTGTGGAAATGTCCATCCGCCAGTACTGAGGAGATGTGGCTTTTTAATTCTTATTCCTGCTCTTCCCACTGAAAACAAAGAGGATTTAGGATGCATTTCAGAATACTTTGTGAAACTACTTGGTTGGACTTGTGTCTGCTCAAACTTCACACTGTGCTGCAGCCAGGCAGTGGGTCCCAGGGAACAGAACCCCTGCAAGGTGTTTTTCTGTTTTTTTTTACTTTATTTTTTAATTTCTTTACTATTATATCTAGACATGTTGTTGTTAGAATCCTAAAATATGGGCAAGTTACTCAGCTTGTGTCACGGGTACTTGCTGAAAGATAAAATAGATTTACAGCCCCTCATGGTGGAGGGTTTAGTTCTTGTGAAGCAGTTCCAGTGACAGCCACACTGGGAAGGAATCTTTGGAAGATTGTATCCAAAAGATCCAAAAGCAGGAATGTAGGAGGGTGAGGTTTGTGTCCTGCCTTTCTGAGAGGGCACCTGTGCAGGGAGGGGATCTTGTTCCCCATGACAGGACACAGATTCTTCCATCCTGCAACAGGCTTAATATTTTTAAAGCCAAGAGGTTGATTTTTCCCCAAGTGTGGAAGTCCTGAGGATGGGTGGCTACAGCCCTGGCCAGTTTGTGAATCCTTTTAGCTGCTGGCAGGAGTAATGCTCAGGCTCCTTGATCCTCAAGAGCCTTTGGAGGTGACGAGCAGAGTCCCAGACGTGTGGGCTCAGCACTGACTCATTCCCCATCTGAGGAGCAAGTGGGGAGGGCACATCCCAAACAGCCAGTGGGAGCTGCTCCCACTCCCACAGGGTTTCCTAAATTATTTCAGAGTCCTTGAGGCAACCTGTTATTTTCAGGGAGAGTTGTAACTTCAGAAGGATTTGGCAGCATTGGTCAAATCTTCCTGGATTTTGTCACCTGGATTGGCCCTGAGGGAAGGGACCCTGAGCCCTGCACTGGCTGTGTCACTGCCCTGGCTCTGTGGCCTCCCTTGTTTGCAGCTGACCTCGGGAAGGATTCCTGCTGTGTGCATCCTGCTGGCTATGGATCTGTCAGCAGGGATCCCTCTCTCACTGCCGGGACAGGCAGCTGTAGTGTGGGAGGCACAGGGATGAATCCATCACCTCACAAACTGGAATTGTGTCAGCTCAGCCTGTCCTGCCCATGAGGAGATGGCTCCAGGAGCAGGGATCTGGAGGATCTGCTGGAGCTTGGATGCACAGCCTGTTTGCCTTCTCCAGCCCTTTGTGTTGCACTGTGTCCCCTTCTGGAAAATGGGATCTGAATCTCGGGAATGTGGGAATGCTGCCTGTTGCAGTTCCCAAATGTCAGATTTGGGCTGTGAGATCTGGTGAGCAGCTCGGCCTCCCAAAAGCCTGGGAGAGGCCTTTGGTATCCCAGCACCTCCCCTCTCCTGTCACACCGTGCTCAGGCTCCAGTGGCTCCCTGGGCTCAGGAAAAATGTCACCACGAAGATTCTTCCAGTAGGTTTTAGAGGAGTGTCCTGGTGGCAGTGAAGGATTTCCCACAGCAGGATTGCCCAGGGGCTCCCAAAAATCCAGGCAGTGGGCAGCAAAGCAGAAGACAGCAGAGCTCAGGCTGCAGAGGGTCTGTGCAGGTACCTGTGAGATGCGTCAGGAAGGGGCAGACACAGGATTGGGAATTTTGAGCTGTTGCTGTGGTAACCACATAAATTCTAACAAGTGTGTTGTCAACTGGGTTAGACAATCTGTGGCTGCTTGTGACACACTTTGTAAATTTAATGAATCCTGTGTCATGAATGATTCATCTGGACATCTAAAGGTTAAAGTGTCTCATGCCAGAGATGCTGAGGGAGCTTTTCTGTATTGATCCATTAATAATTAGCTGATTGTAATTAGTTAAAGAGTCACATTCAGATAGATACTGAGCTCGGGAAACTTATCTACCCTCAAATTATTTGTTGTGGCATTTTGGGAGCCTCAGGCATTTGAAGTTCATTGGAGAAGGTGTAGAAATATCCAGCAGCTCACCTGGCCCATCTTTTATTAACAGTGTGCAAGGTCTGCTCCGAGGGTGCTGAGTGTGACTGTAGAGAAATACCAGTGCTGACAGAGGACAAGGAATCCAAAAAGCCATCTGGGAAGTGTGATGGGCAGGAGATGAGTCCCCTCACTCTGGAGATGTGCAGGAGCCCAGGTGTCAGAAGGAGGGTCTGGAGAAGCTGCAGCTCCCGGGGACTCCCATTTCTCAGACTTGTCATGTTTCTCCTTTTCTGTCAGCAGTCTGTACAGATGTCAGGACTTCACACAGGCTGCCTCTGGGCAGGGAACAAGACACAGACTGGGAATCAGGGGCTGCTCTGGTGCTGCTGCTGGAACTGGGTTTTGACTGGGTTTGACCTGCAGGAAAAACTTGGCCATACCCTCATAGTGCCTTGATGCTCTGCTCTCCCACAGTGGTCACTTGCCTTGAGAGACACATCTTGATTTGCTTTAAGAATTGTTTATAGAAGTCTCTCTACACCCTTCTAGTATCTATTTTTTGTATCAATAAAGTTGACTGATTAGGCCCAGTAAAACAATCCTGGTCAATCCCAAACCTGGAGGGTTTAACAGCACTGCAGCACAGGGGAGGAGAAGGGAACTTGTCAGGAATTGTGGAGGAGATGGCTGCTCTCAGTGAGCTGCATTTAGCTGAGAGCTGGGGGCTGGCAGACACCCTGCCTGCTCCAGGAAACTTGTTTAACACCTTCTGTGCTGAACCTCAGGATCTGCTAAGTGCTGAAAGAATTCCCTGTGTCAGGGACAGGAGCTGTTGTCAGGGCTCTGAGGTTGCCATTATAAATGTATGTGTTCCTGACCTTGTGGATGAACCCTGGAAGCTTGTGAAATCCCACTGGAGCCTGTGCTCAGGGAGTTCTGGTACAGACAGTTCTCAGAGCAGTAATTGCTGACTTTAGCCTTTGAATAAGAAGGAAGGAGGAGATGGTGAAAAATAATTCATTTTCCTGAAAAATACTTGTTTTCTTAACCTTTCCAGAGGATCATTTACCCCAGTCTTTCTGTGTTGGGCTTTGCAGTTTTGTTGCTTTGCATTTCCCAACCCAGTTTAGACCCAAAAACCAACAACAGTAATTTCAGCTGAATGCTTTGCAGGTTTTAAGGGCTTAAGAGTGGCCTCACCGAGTTACAGGTTCAGGATGTGGTAACAAACACCAGACCAACAGCTTTGGGATCAATAATTCATCTCTGAATAACGGGGCAGTAACAAATACGGGTCAGTGGTACAATGATCCAGCACAGCAAACCCAGCAGTTCCCCAGTGCTGGGCTAAAAGTAATGGCCAGGCACACAAAGGGTTCCTGGGGGGCGTGGGGGGGGTCTGGAAATACCCTTTAACACTGGTCTCACCTCTGCTGTGTGCACAGCACATGGAAATGCTCCTAAAGCACCTCAGACCCTCGCTGTACATTTTGTGTTTGGGTGCACGTGCTGTGCCAGTAGAAAATCTGGGGGTTCTGCAGCCTCTCCCACGTTTATTTTATGATAATGATGCTCTGATATATCACACTAAGGAAACAATCTGTAGTGTATTAACTGGAGTCTGTGTGTACTTGTGTTTTAGCTGGAAGAGGAGAGATCAGTACTCAATAACCAGTTATTAGAGATGAAAAAGAGGTAAGTTGTTCCTGCTGATGTGTGCTTAACCCCACAGTCCTACAGAAATGGAATACAAAAACACTGCTAAGAGCTGTTCTTTTCTGTTGTGTCATGGTTAAAAGTGTTCGTTGGATTAGAGATGGAAGCATCCACATTTGCTTTAGTTCCACATCTCCCACCTTGTGGTAATTCTTATTTGCAGCGACCAGTTTAATGTTTGGTTTTAGTCTGCTCTGGAATGTGGGGTTGTCCCTCAGTCTTGATAAAATGTGTGTGCACAGATCTGACCTGGTGAGCTCTTGAAAAATAATGGAGAATACAGTGATGCTGAGGAGGGTTTTCAGAGGAAAAGGGGAAAAGGAAAGAAAAGTTTCTGAGCACTTGCTGCTCTCATGGTTTCGGGCTGTTGAGTTCCTTGTGGGTTATTGCAGTTCATTCAGCACTGCTTTTCAATGCCAGGAGATTTGTCCTGGGTGTTTGGGGCATCCCTTTGTAAGCTGCTGCTCAGGGAGAGGTCCCAGATCACCAGTCTGAGTGTCTGCAGTGTGTGCATGGGAAGCTGATTGGCCCCTGTGCCTTGAGGGAAATGGGGGCTTTCCAAAAGAATTCCATAAATCCTTCGAGAACAGCACAGCTCCCCACGACACCTCGGCTGTTCCAGGAAAAACAAACCAACCCCTGCTAAATTTATAATGGTCAAAAGAACAGTGAGTGGCTTTTGGCTGTTGATGCACATCCTTGGCCACTCGGTATTCTCACTGTTCCCTTCCTCATTCCCTCCACTCTGTTCTCTGGGAGGGGGTTCCAAAGGCCAGCAGGTACGTGGGGTGTTCCCCCAGGCAGTGCTTCCCTAGGGAACGTCAGAGTTGGACCACCTGAAGCTCCAACTTGAAGCAGCCTCACGAGCTGCATCACCAGGCTGTTCTGAACGTGTTTGAAAATGTGTTTTCAGTGGTGTAACTCCTGGAGGTCACTTGAGGAGAGGAAGGAGGGAGTGGGGACCAAGTCATTCAATACTTCCCAGCAGTTCTGTTTCACAGAGAACATTTTCAAAGACAAACTCTCTGTAAGTTCTACAGAGGAAGGTGTGTGGCTCTGATCTTCCTTCTGTTTTACTCTGGGTGAGCTGCCTGAAATAATTCAGACAGTAATTAAATCAGCGAAGTGAATTTTACCATGACTTTACCTTCAGTCAATTACACCGAGATGCCCCAGTTTGTGACTGGCTTAATCAGCAGTGTTGAATAAACTGCAATAGAAGAGGAAAATGAGCAACAGGAGCAGCCTGGCTGAGGCAAACTGCAGGCACTGGGGCTCAGAACATGTCAACATGTGGCATCAGTGCTAATGAAAAAGGTTTGGCTGAATAAAGAACTAATCAAGTAAAAATAACGAGAAAAGTCTCTGAATTCCCAAATTCCACAGAATTTGGTGATGGGAAGATGATAATTTCCTCCTTTTGCCTTAAGAACTCGAGCTGCTGAACAAGAGCCATCTTTGTGTTTCAATTAGGTCAAATCTCTAGGGGTGATTTTCTCACCTTCCTTGCACCCCCAGGAATTCTCTCCCACTGTTTTGGCATCCCCTCGTGTGAAGTGATCCAGCTGGGAGTGGCAGGAGTTTGGTGTTGATGGATCGTGGGGGGTTCCTGTGGCTCAGCTCGGGTTCAGTGTGGGTTGCTGTCTGACTGTCTTTGAGCTTCGCTGTTTATCAATACTCATTTCATTCCTCTCTCTTCCCTTTCCTGCCCTTGCTTCCCTTGCTATATCTGTGTGTCTTTAATGGTAAGACTCAAGAAAGTCTATCCACGTTACAATAAATAATTATTTTTTTTTTTTTAGTAAAGTTGTTGTACATATTTTGGCTGCCTTTGTCCCTTGGTGTCTTGCTTTTGTTTTGTAAAACACTCAGCTATATATATATATATATATATATAAAATAAAAAAAAAAGTCTATATATTTTTTACCAAAACAGAAAAGGCCCTTGGTGCAAATATTGTTCTTCCTTAAAGTGTTTTGCATTTGTACTCCATGTTTCTAACATGTGGTTCTTGTTATCTTGCATTTTTAAAGCTTACCCAGTAGCACTTTAAGGTATTTGCTTCATTCTTAGAATTTCTTATTTTTGTAGTAAGGGAAGAATCTGGGTGATTATTTTTTTTCCTAATGCTAAACTGAAACAAACCCCTTTCTCCCACAATTTCCACACACTGTTCAGAACATGGCTTAAGCTTCTCAAGAAAATGAAGTTTTAAAATGGCTTTTAAAGGTAAAAGTCATTTTTATTGTTTTGATTTCCCCCCTGCTGATAAGCAGGTGTTTTGAACTTGAATTAGCAAGAAAAGAGATTAATTTCACTAAATATTTTTTTCAATTAAAATAAATAATTTCCACAAGATTTTCCTTGCAAGCTCTCCCAGTGCAGTTATTTCCCATTCCCACTGCACACGATGCTCCCAGCAGCAGCCAAGCCTCTGCCTGGAAGTGACCTGTGATCCACACTTAGGGATCAGCATTTTTCATGATCCAGGTCCAGCATTTTTGGGTCCCCCACTGGAGCAGCTTCTGGAGAGACTGTCCAGGAAAGAAAACCCAAAGCTCCAGCACAGGGACCTTCTTCCCCTCTTGTTTTCTCTCTTCTTTTCTTCTCTCCTTTCTCTCCCCTTGTGTTTTAGCATTCAAGGCTCCTGTATTGAGTCTGTAAATATTTTATTTCCATCCTTACAATCTGTTTGCCTTTTTCAACCACCTCAGCGTTGTGCTGGTTGAAGCCAAGCCTGACAAATGGCAAATTAACCATATTTGTGCCAAAAGCATCTGTTTGGTCCTGATCTCTCCATGAAGATCTGACCAAGTGGAAACATTGGCTGAATCACAAGCTCTTGAGCATGGGCTGAGTCACTGGGGTTTCCATCTGCCCTTCCCAGCTGCGTGCACAGCATGGAACGCTCGGGAGAAGTCTCGGGTGCAGCAGAGCTTGTGAGCAGCAACTTCCAGATGTGATTCCCAGATGTCCTCAGGGTTTACTGCCCAGCAAATCCTGGATTTGCAGCTCTGCTCTGTCAGTTTGATCCATGGGACAAAGCACTGAGCACCACGGGAGAGGCAGAGCGTGGGGAGCCCTGCGGGAGAACACGGAGGTGCCTGTGGAGCTTTGAGTGCTTTGCTGGCTCGGGGTTGGCCAGGGGCACTTTCCATCCAGTGCCCTTTTGGGTTTTATTAACAAGAATATAACTTGTATTTGAAGGCAAGATCTCACAGTCTGCAAGTTGTTGTGTTTCCACTTCTGTTGATTCTCTCATTGTAAAAATTTACCAAAACCAAATCAAATTTTGGTTCTTGTTTGGTAGCTGCCTCAGCTTTTCTAAACCCCAGATTCTCCACTTGCTGCTTCCATTCCCGAGTACAATCTGAACAATGAAAGAATTGCATTGTGCTCTCATTGTTGAGTTCATCTCGAGTGGCTGAGATTTCCCGTGTTTCATGGCCTGGGTATCGTGGCTCTCACTAACTGTAGGTACCACAGAGATGGAATCTTTGCCATTTGAGCTTGATGGCTGTCCCCTGAGCATCCTCCCACGTGGATGGGCTCTGCTCCTGATCCCTCAGCAGTGCTGGGGAGTGCAGTGCACTTCAGAGCCCCTGCAGGAGCTCAGAGCCACTAGCAGCACTGCTGCCTGCACTGAAGAGCCAGTTCCTCTTGGAGAAAAGTTCATGGTTTGAAGTCACTTTTTCATTGTTTTCTTTTTTAACCAAAATCTTTCAGCTTGGAAGGAAATTTGTAGCAATGCTTCTCCCATCAGAGGACAGTTCCTCACTGTGTGTGTTCTGTGACCTGTCAGGAAGATCAGCTTGCACCAGTGTGAGGGTGTCACAGCAGTGGTGCCTGTAGGCAGAAGTTGGATCTCTGTAAGATCCATGGAAAACATCAGGAAAACTGGATATATGTACACAGGAGAGAGTTGTGCCTGCTTTGGAGGATTTCTTTTGAACCCTTCTCTCATGAAGTAAAACAAATCCCATGTGGTTTCTCCATGTGCAGGAAATGGAGATGTTACTGAAATTAGTGAGGACCAGCTGATATTTCCAGCCTCATCCATGCTTTGCATGACAACTTGTACAATGAGCTTTGCATGCCTGTTTTGTTGCTTGTTAGTAATTTTCAAGAAGTAACAAAACTCTCAAGTTAGGCTTTGTGCAACATTGTGCAACGTGTTTGTTTATCCTGTATCTCCCCAGTCTGTTAACTTGCTCCTTTAAATTCAAATGGATACGGTGCTATGCAGATTCTGGCATGTACTACCTAGGTAAAGTTTTTGCTTTGTTTCCATAGTTTATTTCCATACCTGAAATGCTTGTACATATACAAAACCTTAGTCAAGTGGTAAATTGTAATTTGTTTTTTAAGAACCACTTCTTACGGTAGTTTAATACTTGAAATTAAATTAAAATGCTTTAGGCCACTACAGTTTCCCATTCATTAAATGACTTCTGGTTTTACTTGGTTTTCTTTTAGAGAATCGACTTTAAAAAAAGAAATTGATGAAGAGAGAGCATCTTTACAGAAATCCATCAATGTTACTAGTGCCTTGATCACACAAAAAGATGAGGAACTGGAAAAACTCAGACATGAGGTAAGTGAGGAATGGATGATTCCTAATTTCATTTAAGTTGCAGCCAGAGGCTTTGTGTGCTGGCTCCTGAAGAGCTGGCTGATGATTTTTCTTTTACGTGGCATAGTTATACCTTAGCATCTTTAGATGCCTGTGCTGAGCCAGGTGACTCCTGGCACATGTTTTGGTGGCTGTTCAGCCCTTGCTTCAAGGGCCCTGGCCTTGGTGCTCTGGCTTGGTGCTGGATGGTCCAAGTGTTGTCAAACAACTCTTCCAGATCACGGTGCTCCGCGGAGAAAACGCTTCTGCAAAAACCCTGCAGTCAGTGGTGAAGTCCCTGGAGTCTGACAAACTGAAACTTGAGGAAAAGGTGAAGAACTTGGAGCAAAAACTCAAGGAAAACAACGAGCAGCCTTTAACTGTAATGAGCCCCTCAGGTAAAGCGAGAGCCACTCCAGTGTCCTTGCCCTCACAGCCTGTGACATTATTTCTGACCCAGCCGTGGCACGAGTCACATTGTACCTTGTTTGGTTTTTCCCTTTTAAGGTGATGCTGCTACTCTGCTTCAGGAGGAAATTGCAAGAGAGAAGCAGGTATTGGATGTGCACATGAGCATGCTAAACCAGCAGTGGGGCCTTAGGAGAGGGGAGTATTCCAAAGACAGTCTGTACCTTACTGGGTTTTGTCAGTCAGGATTTTAACTGATTTATCATGTAGCCCCTCAGCTTCTGAAGGGAAATGTCAGTGACAGTAAATACTAAATCAAGTGAGGAGTGATACTGGAGAAACAAGGGAATGTGAGGAAACAAGCAGGAAGTGAGGATGGCAAGTTGTGCCCTGCGGCCTGTCAGAGGTACAGCCTAGCACAGCACTCACTGCTCCTTGGCCTTCCCAAGGTTTCTTGGATGTGCATGAGGAAAAGCTGTGGCCCACCTGAAGCTGGTGCTTGCCATCTTGGAGAAATGGGCCCCTGGGTGCCTCTGAGCTCTGCAGTTCTTCCTGACTGCAGAACTGTGCTCAGAACAAGGGGTGGCAGCAATGGAGAAGGAAGGTGCTCAGCTGGCACAAGAAGATGTGATTTGGAGTAGGACAGTCACAGTGACCTCGTGAAGTGCTGCTTCACAGGGGCCTGTGCAAACAAATGCCTAGAAAATATGGTTGGAATAGAATCACCTCATGCTAAATGCTCATGGTAAAGCCTTCGTTAGATCACAAATGTCAGGCACAATGATTAAAAAATGTCCTTCCCAGTTGTGCAGCCCCCAGAAGTGTCACGAATATACAACTAACCACCAATCTTTTTCTGGTTTTCTGCTTCTCTGGATTCACCTGCTGATGGCAACCCTTCCTTCCACCAGGGCGAGGTTGGTTCCACTTCTTTCCTCCCCTGTTCATTTCCCAAGTGTTCCGTGGTTACGTTGGGCTGGGGGAGGAGCCATCCCCCTGCCCCTCTGACTCTCCTTGTCCTTGGCTCTCCTAGATCGACTTCCTGAATTCAGTGATAGTGGATCTGCAAAGGAGAAATGAAGAACTGAACTTGAAGATACAAAGAATGTGTGAAGCAGCCCTCAATGGCAATGAAGAGGAGATAAATAACTATGACAGGTACAAATCCTAAAGGAAACCTCGGCTCTTGTTCTGGGAACTGTTGGTAGAGCTGCATGATGCACCAGCCTGATCTCAGCTGTCAGGAGGGACAGACAGAGCTTTCCCTGGAGTTTAGTGGTTGAATCCAGCCTTCTCTTTACACTGTGGTGTAACTGGGGGTGCAGATAGTGCTTTGTAGCTACCAGTCCCAAACACTGATGTATCGTGACACGTCTGTTGTATGACTTGGTGAATCTGGCCCTTTCCAAGTGCAGAAGTCTTTGCTCCCAAGAGGCTGTAGCTGTGCTGGCATGGGAAGAACCAATCCAGAGAAACAGAACTAAAACCTATTTGATGTGTCATGATTATAGTTCTCTTAAGGGAAAAGAGAAACTCACATGTGTTTCTTTTAAATACCTCAGTGCAAATACCTGCACAAACAGCAGCTTGTTCAGTAGATATTGGAGTTTAGGGGGTGGTGGGGCACTGCAGGGTGGCGCAGAAGGGTTTGTGTCCTACTTTTGGTTGAGCTCTGTGGCGTTTCCCGAGTCTCAGTAACCACGAGCTCGCTGCAGGGCCGTGGGCCCTGCTCCTGTGTGCCGGACACTGACTGGTGCTGGTGCTGCTCTTGCAGTGAGGAGGAGAGCCTGTCCAAGAAGAAGCCGCGTCTCTTCTGCGACATCTGCGGCTGCTTCGACCTGCACGACACCGAGGACTGCCCGACGCAGGCGCAGGCGCTGGAGGAGCCGCCGCACTCGGCGCACCACGGCAGCCGGCGCGAGGAGCGGCCCTACTGCGACACCTGCGAGGTGTTCGGCCACTGGACGGCCGACTGCAACGACGACGAGACCTTCTGATGGCGGGACAGCCCCGCCCGGACCCCTGCAGCACCAGCAGCGCCTCTGCTGAATGCCAGCACAAGGGACACAGAGCCCTCGCTCCCCGCTCCGGAATCCCTACAGGCATAAATACTTTGATCTTCCACTAATAAATATCCCCCGTCCCTTTTTAACGAACTTCAGTGAAAGATAAATAAATGATTTAACAAGTGACTTTATGCTGTTTCTTCCCAGGTTCTGGGTTTGTCCCGCCCTTAACAGGAAATGCCTCTGTGCTGTTGGATCTATTGGTGGGAAAACGTGTATAGGAATGAAGCACTAGAGTTATATTAAAGCTTATTTAAATACCTTAAAAATATGCTGTTAATTTTCATATTTGCACTAAACCATTTTAAGGCTGAATTTGTACATTTAGATTTTTAAGCTTTTTTTTGACACTGGACTGAGTTGATAAATATTTCATCTTTATTTTCATTTACTCCTTTGATTGCGATGTTGCTCGGTGCCGTGAGCTCTGGGTTGTGGTTTGGTGTGAAATGTGGAAATGATGCAGGTAAGGAGCTGCTGGGGGTTTTTGGAAACCTGTATTCTGTGCACACCTGTGCACACCTGAAACAGTCAGTGGGCCATCCCTGTTTTGCATTCTTTGAGCTTCTATATAGTGAGTGTGGTGTGTGTGTATATATGCATATATATAATAAAGTTATATTTTGGAAAAAAAAGTGTTGTCTCTTCTGCATTTCTGTTCAGAGTGTGAGGGGCTCTGTGCCAGGGGCTGCACTGTAAATCACAGAATTCATCAGCTGGGAAGAGACCTCTGCGATCACCAAGTGTGTGACTGAGCACCACCTTGTGAACATGACAAGTACTGCTCGGGGAACTACCGAGTGCCACGACCAGTCCTTACTTAAATCGGGGACAGTGACTCCACTGCCTCCCTGGCTGGTTTTTAATCACGCTTTCAGTGAAGGTTCTCCTGATGTCCAACCTGAGCCTCTTCTGCAGCTTTAGGCCATTTCCTGTCCCTTTCCCTGGAGCACAGCCCGACCCCCCGGCTGTCCCCTCCTGGCAGGAGCTGTGCAGAGCCAAAGCGACCCCTGCGCCTCCTTTGCTCCAGGCTGAGCCCCCTCAGCTCCCTCAGCCCCTCCAGGTGCTCCAGCCCCTCACTGTCCTTCCTGAACGCAGGGCCCAGAGCTGGACACGCTGTGGCCTCAGCGCAGGGGGGAGGCAGCTCCCGGCGCAGCCCGGAGCCAGTGGCCGCACACATGACACACACATGACGCACACATGACGCACACATGACGCTCACATGACGCTCACGGCTCGGTGCGGCTGCGCGGCCCCGCCCCGCGGCCCCTCTGCGGCCATGGCGGCGCACCTGAGCTCGGGCCGGGTGAACCTGACGGCGCTGCGCGAGGCGGGGCGGCGCGAGCTGCGCGAGTTCCTGGACAAGTGCGCGGGCTCCAAGGTGGGCACGGCGGG